TGTGGTTGTGGGGTGGTGGTTTTTTTGTTTGGGTTTTTTTTTTCCCTACTGGTAAATGAATACTACATTTTATAAAAGTACCCTGAAATGTTTAATTTCAAATCCACTAAATAACAGATGAATCAGAATTTCCCTGTTGGGGAAATTCCATCCCTCAAACCTGAACTGTCTCAAGGTTCCTCTGTGATTTTCTCTTTGTCCTTACTCTCTTTAGTCTGTCATAGCATATTTTAATCAAAAGATAAGTAAGTCGTCTATAGAGCCTGGCCTATATGGGAAAAAGGACATGAGAAGTTTGCTAGGTATGTATCCAGTTGTGCCATACTGCATATAGAAAATGCAGCTTAACTGGATTGAAATCAAATAAGTGGATTTCTTGCTAAAAGTTAAATTTTATTGAAAAGGTTGAGATAAAACTATTTAGTGTTCCCAAAGCAGAGGTTTTCAAACTGCCATTTGTTAACAGTTTTGAAATTTCTGGGTGATTGGTGATGGAGCCAATCAAGTGGTGGTGCTTTTGGGAAAGATCACATAAAATAGCTGTGCCATTTCTCATAATTTTTCTTCCCAATGCTTGCAAGTACCTCAGACTCATAAGAGAGTACTGTTCATCATTCAGTTCTGCAATATGAATTTGTGTTAATATGTCTTGACTTCATGTTACTTACATCTCTCTCCAAAACAATCTTCTGATGCTTTTACTAAGGGGTTTAGAGCTTCTGATTATTGATAGTCTACACAGTTGCTTATGGTATAGCTGTAATCTCTTTTTCATCATAGCCCGGTGTCACAGTCTCTCTGTTACAGTATTTGAACTAAGTGAAACTGTGTGAGGGTGGAAGCCTAAGTTTAAGCATGCTTAAAGTAGAGCAGCGTGGATGTGTCTACACGACTACCTTCATCTATTAACAGGAAATTGTGTTTATAAGGGTGAGTAATGGTATATAGGCCTTGGCAGTTTCTTGACCTTCGGATGACATTGTTCAGACATTGGAGGTACTGCTGTTTGTGAGAAGTGCTGTGGCATAATGCCAGGCTGTGAACTGTGCAAGGATCTAACAAGAAGTGGACCTGAGGGACACAGTTTTAGGGCAGGCTTAGATCGAATCTTACTTCATCCCCTTGAGCCACCAGTACAATAGTTAAATAGAAGACTTTCTGTGAGACCCTTCCTTCCTCGGAAACACTTTGTGAGATGTGACTAGAATCTGTCATTCAGTAGGTCTTCCTTTACCATGTTTTTGATGATAAAAGCAGTTTTCCCTTGAAGATGGACTTCAGCTATTTAATTGTTGTGTGTGATGCACCGCACACGGTATCACCTGAGGCTGTCACATGTCTTCTCTGCTCTGTAGGACCATGTCTCAAAAAAAGGCTGTTGACACAGGGGGCAGACTACTCTGAGCAGTGACATCTCTCTTATTCTGAACTCCAAGCTCCAGACACAGCTGAGATGCCAGAAATGTGTGAACTGATGGTGTCATGAGACAAAAAGTAGACAAAGGACAAGTGAATGATTTTTTTTTTTTTTT